TGGATGATTGGTTGGCTTGGATGGATGGATGGATGGATGGATGAATGATTGGTTGGATGATTGGTTGGCTTGGATGGATGGATGGATGGATGGATGGATGGATGTATGGATGGATGGATGGATGGATGGATGATTGAGAAGATGTATGGTTGGACGATTGGTTGGCTTAGATGGGTGGATGGATGAATGGATGGAAGGATGAATGATTGGTTGGATGATTGGTTGGCTTGGATGGATGGATGGATGGATGGATGAATGATTGGTTGGATGATTGGTTGGCTTGGATGGATGGATGGATGGATGGATGGATGGATGTATGGATGGATGGATGGATGGATGGATGATTGAGAAGATGTATGGTTGGACGATTGGTTGGCTTAGATGGGTGGATGGATGGATGGATGGATGGATGGATGGATGGATGATTGATTGGGATGGATGGATGGATGGATGATTGGTTGGCTTGGATGGATGGATGGATGGAAGGATGGATGATTGGTTGGATGGATGGATGGATGGATGTATGGATGGATGGATGGATGGATGGATGATTGAGAAGATGTATGGTTGGACGATTGGTTGGCTTAGATGGGTGGATGGATGGATGATTGATTGGGATGGATGGATGGATGGATGGATGATTGGTTGGCTTGGATGGATGGATGGATGGAAGGATGGATGATTGGTTGGCTTGGATGGATGGATGGAAGGATGGATGGATGGATGGATGGATGGATGATTGAGAAGATGTATGGTTGGACGATTGGTTGGCTTAGATGGGTGGATGGATGGATGATTGATTGGGATGGATGGATGGATGGATGGATGATTGGTTGGCTTGGATGGATGGATGGAAGGATGGATGGATGGATGATTGAGAAGATGTATGGTTGGACGATTGGTTGGCTTAGATGTATGGATGTGTAGATGGATGGATGGATGATTTCAGTAAACACTGCCATCTCTGAACAAACATGTCAGTTATCTGATGATGCGTTCACTGTCTCTCTGTAAACTGGAGTCTTTGAGGCCACTGACATTTGGCAGAGGACAGCAGCCGTACGTCCCGTTGGACATCTGGCAGCAGGTGGTCTGATCGGGACAGGCTGACTTCTGGTCCGGACACACAACTGGAGGAACATGTTTCCTTTAAAACTTTACTTTTACAAACTTTTCCTTCTTTAAAAAGTATTTGTCCAGAAATAGCAGCTTACTGTCGTTGGAAACAGCAGGGATCTTCTTCATCAGAGGAGCCTGATTCTCAGCAGACCTGCAGATTCCTTGGTCCAGGTCACAAACCGTGTTGCTCGGGCAACAGTGGAGATGGTCGCTGCAGCATGTGGCCTGAAAGAAAAACTCATCCAGGTGAATAYATAAAATTCAGTTTTAGTGCCGACGGCTTCAGGTTCTCATCATTCAAAGATCCTTCGGCTGAGAGGAAACCTCTGAAACGCACCTCTGGGTATGGGCAGCAGCCATAGTCTCCTCTGCTCAGCAGGCAGCACGTGGAATCATCAGCACAGCTGCTTTTACCACCGGGACACATCACGGAAACAGCTTCAAAACCAGAGACACAAACAGGTTTATTACATCCATGATCTAAATTTAACCACAGGGTTGTTTAGTCYTCTGTTCTGACACAAAGACACCTGTCTCCGAAGACGTCTCTTCACCTGGTTTACTCTCAGTTCTTCTGGCAGGAAGTTTTTCCAGGAGAGGAAACGACTCGAGCGATGGMGAAATGCACTTTGAGTGGACCAGATCACATTTAGTTCCCTCAGGGCAGCAGTGACGTTTGTCCTCACAACAAACCGCCTGAAAAGAAAAAATACAAAACAAATCAGCTCTGACAAAAACGTTCATGTCAAAAACTAAAGAACAAACAAACAAAAACTAAAAAGGAGTCATTTAGAAACAGAAAAATTAGACAATTAACATCGTGAATCAGTGAAGAGGTTTAGCTTAAAACACATTTTGAAAAAAATAAGCACTTTAATTCCTGTGATTTACTTTTAGCCATTCTTGTGCAACCTTTACCTAGCTTTGAATGTTTAGCTAGACATGCTAATGTTAGCCAAACTATTGCTACTTTTAGCCATATATATGCTATTTTTAGCCGGCCTTATGCTAATTTCAGTTACCTTTTTGCTTCTTTTAGCCATCTTTAAGCTACTTTTAGCCAGCCTTATGCTACTTATAGTCTATCTTTTGCTACATTTAGTTATCTATATGCTATTTTTAGCCAACTTTTTGCTAATTTTAGCCATCTATATGCCGGTTTTAGCCAAACTTTTGCTACTTTTAGCCATCTAGATGCTATTTTAGCCATCTAGATGCTATTTTAGCCAACCTTTTGCTAGTTTTAGCCATCTGCATGCAATTTTTACCCAATTTTTTGCCATGTTTAGCCAACTATATGCTATTTTTAGCCAACCTTTTGCTACTTTTATCCATATGTATGCTATTTTTAGCAATCTACATGCTAATTTTAGCCAAACTTTTGCTACTTTTAGCCATCTATTTGCCAGTTTTAGACATGTATATGCTATTTTTAGCCAAGCTTTTGCTAGTTTTAGCCATCTTTGCTATTTTTAGCCAACCTTTTGCTACTTTTAGCCATCTGTATGCTATTTTTAGCCAACCTTTTGCTACTTTTAGCCATCTATATGATATTTTTAGTCATCTACATGCTATTTTAGCCAACCTTTTGCTAATTTTAGCCATCTATATGCTAATTTTAGCCAACCTTTTGCTGCTTTTAGCCATCTAGATGCTATTTTTAGCCATCTTTAAGCTACTTTTAGTTGGTCTTATGCTACATTTAGTCAACCTTTTGCTACTTTTAGCCACATTTGAAATTTTTTGCCATATTTATGCTACTTTTAGCCAGTCTTTTGCTACTTTCAGTCAGCCTATGCTATTTTTATCACCTATCCTTTTGCTACTCTACTCATTTGATTTATCCAACCTTTTACAACTTTTATTCAGCATTGAGCCTTTTTTGATTAGCATTTTGCAACTTTTTATCAGCTGTATGCTACCTTTTGTCCAATATTTGCTTCTTTCACTTTACCTTTTGCTACTTTTAGCTAGCCTTATGATATTTTTAGCAAATGTTTGCTACTTTAAGCCACTTTTTGCTATTTTTAGCCGACTATGTGCTAC